AATCTGGGGAGAGCGTGGATGAGCTCCCTCTGTCAGCTCCAGCTCCTCATGCAGGGACATGAGAGAAGCCTCCCACAAGGATGATAAAACATCAAAACATCTGGGTGTCCCCTGGGCAACGTCCTTACAGACGGCCAATTCTCTCACACCAGAAGTGACTTGCAGTTTCTCAAGTCGCCTCTGACACGACAAAAAAAAAATCATCATCCTTCCTCCCGACGAGATGTGCAAATGGCTTTCAGTGGTTTTGAAACAAGCAGCTCCTAGGAAAGCCAAAGTCTGCAACACAGCACGGATTGTGCAAATTGGGAAGCTTTTTTCTCTCCCTTAAAACTATTGGAAGTTGGTTCACATCTAGACGAAAATCTATTTCCAGCGTCTCATTTCCAACTAAATCCTAAAGCAGTGTTTCTCAACCTTCCTAATGTCGTGACCCTCATGTTGTGGCATCTCAGATATTTACATTGCGGTTCCTAATCGTAGCAAAAATACAGTTATGAAGTAGCAATGAAAATAATGTTATGGTTGGGGGGTCACCACAACGTGAGGAACTGTATTACGGGGTCGCATCATTAAGATGGTCGAGAAAAACTGATATATAGGAATACATTTCAATATATGTATGTGCAGTGTTTTTGCAATGTTTATGTGTTTTGTAGGTTTTTTCCGGGCTATATGGCCATGTTCTAGAGGCATTTTCTCCTGATGTTTCGCCTGCATCTATGGTAAGCATCCTCAGAGGCAGTGAGGTCACTACCTCAGAAGATGGTTGCCATAGATGCAGGCGAAACGTCAGGAGAGAATGCCTCTAGAACATGGCCATAAAGCCCAAAAAAACCTACAACAACCCAGTGATTCCGGCCATGAAAGCCTTCGACAATACATTTATGTTTTTTATTTTTTGTGTAAGCCGCCTCGAGTTATGATGAGAGGCAAGTAAGAAATGAATGTATCATTATTCTTATTCTTATTATTAGAATGGGGTTGGACTAGATGGCCTTTGGGGGCCTCTGCCAACACCATGATTCCATAATGGGAATCATAGTGTTGGAATGAACCCCCCAAAGCATGCTCAAAAGGTGCCTATCCAACCTCTTTTTAAAGACCTCACATTATGAAATCATGGCGACATGCTGGAATGTGTCCAGAGGAGGGTGATTAAAATGATCAAGGGTCTGGAGAACAAGCCCTATGAGGAGCGGCTTAAAGAGCTGGGCCTGGTTAGCCTGAAGAAGAGAAGGCTGAGAGGAGACATGATAGCCATGTATAAATATGTGAGAGGAAGCCACAGGGAGGAGGGAGCAAGCTTGTTCTCTGCTTCCCTGGAGACTAGGACTCAATGGAACAATGGCTTCAAACTACAAGAAAGGAGATTCCATCTGAACATGAGGAAGAACTTCCTGTGAGACTAAAATTCTCTAAGGCCTACCTCACACTGTGAGGCCTCACAGATTAAGGTCTAACTCACACAGAAATTTCTCTCACAGACTAAGGCCTATCTCATGCTGTAAGGCCTTCTCTCACAGACTAAGTCCTACCTCACACTGTGAGGCCTTCTCACAGATTAAGGTCTATCTCACACAGAAGCTTCTCTCACAGACTAAGGACTATGTCACACTGTAAGGCCTTCTCTCACAGACTAAGGCCTATCTCACACTGTAAGGCCTTCTCTCACAGACTAAGGCCTACCTCACACTGTGAGGCCTTCTCACAGATAAGGTCTACCTCACACAGAAGATTCTCTCAAAGACTAAGGCCTATCTCACACTGTAAGGCTTTTTCTCACAGACTAAGACCTACCTCACACTGAGGCCTTCTCACAGATTAAGGTCTACCTCACACTGAAGCTTCTCTCACAGACTAAGGCCTACCCTTCTCACAGATTAAGGTCTACCTCACACAGAAGCTTCTCTCACAGACTATGTCACACTGTAAGGCCTTCTCCCACAGACTAAGGCCTACCTCACACTGTGAGGCCTTCTCACAGATTAAGGTCTACCTCACACTGTGAGGCCTTCTCACAGATTAAGGTCTACCTCACACTGTGAGGCCTTTTTTCTCAGACTAAGGCCTACCTCACACTGTGAGACCTTCTCTCACAGACTAAGGCCTGCCTCACACTGTGAGGCTCTATGAAGTCACAGGGAGGAGGGAGCGAGCTTGTTTTCTGTTGCCCTGGAGACTAGGACGCAGAACAATGGGTTCAACCTACAAGAAAGGAGATTCCATCTGAACATGAGGAAGAACTTCCTGACTGTGAGAGCCGTTCAGCAGTGGAACTCTCTGCCCCGGAGAGTGGTGGAGGCTCCTTCTTTGGAAGCTTTTAAACAGAGGCTGGATGGCCATCTGTCAGGGCTGCTTTGAATGCAATAATCCTGCTTCTTGGCAGGGGGTTGGACTGGATGGCCCATGAGGTCTCTTCCAATTTTATGATTCTATGCTGGAAGGGACCCCAAAGGCCATCTAGTCCAACTGCATTCCACCATTAAGATGCACACCCAAAGCATTCTCAAAAGGTGCCCATCCAACCTCTTTTGAAAGACCTCCCATTATGGAGCCTTAATGTTGCATGGATGTCTTTCGGGAGTGTTTTAGTTGTGCATCTTAATGGCACACAGGTTGGAATAGATGACCTCTTAGGTTACCATAATACTCAATGGCTCTATA